ACCCAGAGATGCATTATAAATAAAAGGACACATTCTACTCATGTAAAAACACGCTAATTCCTGGGCCACCCGTGCATCCAGCCCACAGGCTTTAGGTTGCCTACCCCTGCGGTAGAGCATGAGACTCTCACATTGGGTAAAATATTCCTGCAATATTGGACTACATGACCCTTGTGGTCCCTTCCAGCTCTACAATTCTGTAATTCTATGAAACTCTTAATAAATACACCGGAAGACAAAGGTTTCACTGTTGTTGGCGGTGGGATGTGAGCTACATATTCAAAGCCCTACTCTTGGATATTTTCAAGATTAAAGGCCAAGATTAAGGCAAGGTGATTGAGCGGGTGGTTGCCAGACAACTCCAAGCACGCCTGGAGGATGCGGACCATTTGGATCCCTTCCAATCGGGATTCAGGCCTCACCATGGGACTGAAACTGCCTTGGTCGCGCTGGTTGATGATCTCCGGCGGGCTAGGGACAAAGGTGAGAGCTGTTTCCTAGTTCTGCTGGATCTCTCAGCGGCCTTTGACACCATCGACCATAACATCCTTCTGGACCTTCTAGAGGGGCTGGGAGCTGGGGGCACTGTTATACGGTGGTTCCGCTCCTTTCTCCTGGGCCGTGTCCAGAAAGTGGTGGGGGGGGATGAGTGTTCAGACCCCTGGGCTCTCACTTGTGGGGTGCCTCAGGGTTCCGTCCTCTCCCCCATGCTTTTTAATATCTATATGAAGCCGCTGGGAGAGATCATCAGGGGGTTTGGGCTGGGTGTTCATCAGTATGCAGATGACACCCAGCTCTACCTCTCCTTTAAATCAGAACCAGTGAAGGCGGTGAAGGTCTTGTGTGAGTGCCTGGAGGCTGTTGGAGGATGGATGGCGGCTAACAGATTGAGGCTGAATCCTGACAAGACAGAAGTACTGTTTTTGGGGGACAGGGGGCGGGCAGGTGTGGGGGATTCCCTGGTCCTGAATGGGGTAACTGTGCCCCTGAAGGACCAGGTGCGCAGCCTGGGAGTCATTTTGGACTCACAACTGTCCATGGAGGCACAGGTTAATTCTGTGTCCAGGGCAGCTGTCTACCAGCTCCACCTGGTACGCAGGCTAAGACCCTACCTGCCCGCAGACTGTCTTGCCAGAGTGGTGCATGCTCTAGTTATCTCCCGCTTGGACTACTGCAACGCGCTCTACGTGGGGCTACCTTTGAAGGTGACCCGGAAACTGCAATTAATCCAGAATGCGGCCGCTAGACTGGTGACTGGGAGTGGCCGCCGGGACCACATAACACCAGTTCTGAGAGATCTGCATTGGCTCCCAGTACGTTTCCGAGCACAATTCAAAGTGTTGGTGCTGACCTTTAAAGCCCTAAACGGCCTCGGTCCAGTATACCTGAAGGAGCGTCTCCACCCCCATCGTTCAGCCCGGACACTGAGATCCAGCGCCGAGGGCCTTCTGGCGGTTCCCTCATTGCGAGAAGTAAGGTTACAGGGAACCAGGCAGAGGGCCTTCTCGGTAGTGGCTCCTGCCCTCTGGAACGCCCTCCCAGCAGATGTCAAAGCAATAAACAACTATTTTACTTTTAAAAGTCATCTGAAGGCAGCCCTCTTTAGGGAAGTTTTTAATGTTTGATGCTGTACTGTTTTTAATATTCAGTTGGAAGCCGCCCAGAGTGGCTGGGGAAACCCAGCCAGATGGGCGGGGTATAAATAATAAATTTTTTATTATTATTATTATTATTATTATTATTATTATTATTATTATTATGTGCCACTTATTATGTGCCCCACCCCCTCAAAGACAAAGGCCGGAGTTGGGAATTGAGTTGTGTGGAGCTAGTTGCTAGAAGCCTGTGGGCTGGGCAGCTGGGAGACAGAACCATGCCTGATTTCTTCTGGAATCGAAGTCTGTGGCTATGGGAGGAGCAAAATTCTTTTGAGGTGTTAATGCTGTGAGCCCCTCCATCATATGCTCAGTTTGTATATATGTGTAAATATATCATATATCATAAAGGCATCACTACCTCCATTGTCCCTCATTCCAAGGAAACCGAAACCAGGGTAGGCACCTGGAACTCCTTATACAGTGGTGCCCCGCAAGACGAATGCCTCGCAAGACGAAAAACCCGCTAGACGAAAGGGTTTTCCGTTTTTGAGTTGCTTTGCAAGATGATTTTCCCTATGGGCTTGCTTCGCAAGATGTTTTCGTCTTGCGAGTCTTGCGATTTTTTTCTGCTCCCCCCCCTTTTCTAAACCGCTAAGCTGCTAATAGCCTTTTAGCCGCTAAGCCGCTAAGCCTTTAATAGCCGCTGAGCCGCTAAACCGCTAATAGTGCTAATCCGCTAAGCCGCTAATAGGGTTGCTTCGCAAGACGAAAAAACCGCTAGATGAAGAGACTCGCAGAACGGATTGTTTTCGTCTTGCGTGGCACCACTGTATCTCGCACGTAAGGCAGAGAGCTTTTCATCCAGCTGGAAAAGTTTATGGTAACATGTTCAATTGTTTCTCAAAAGTGCTACAGAATCAAAATACCAGGTGCTTGTTTACCTTAACAACTGAGAAAGGGGAGAAGGCGGTGGTGGTGGTGATGATGATGAGGCCATTTTATAGTCTCTCCCAGCTCCACCCTCCTACTGGCAATTTCCAGGTCTTCTTGAGAAGAAGTGGCTTCTTGTCCAACTTCCTATCCCTTTGCAAAAAGCACTCCTGTCTGGATCAGTTTTGGAACTGCAGAGCAGGTAGCAGCATAGTGGGTGTCTGTCTTATCTCAACAAGACTAGCCCTACTCTGAATTGCTGCTGATATTTTGGGAACTTTAGGGAGAAACTCTCCCGCAGCACACCTAGTGGGCATAAGAGAGAGAGATTCATTGTTCTAATACACATTTTGGAATTTTCTGATCTAAAGAATCCCTTCCTCTTGTTTTTTTCCACTCTTTGGCTCTCTCTGAGATTCATTTTCCAGCCAAACTGAAAATCAAGTCCCTGTATGGTCTGTGCACCAGTTACCAATATTTTTGAGCCTTTCTCCTCAACAATGACAAGATACTTATTGGTCAAGCTGATGGTACTCATCTGAGGAAATTTCCCTTTCTTGTTCTGAAGCGAATTAATGAATGGAACAACTTCTCTAGGTTATTCTGTGGATATTCATTCAGTTTGTGGCCCGGGAATGTGGGAAGACGCTTTATATTGAGGTAGGCCACTGGTACCAATAATGTCTACACTGACTGGCAGTGGCTCTCCTGAATTTCAGACAGGGCTGTCTCCCAGTTTTATCTAAAGTTGCCCATGATTAAACCTAAGACCTTCCCCATGCAGAGAGCTTGCTCTGAGCTTCAACCTTTCTCCACAATTCCACTTACCTTTGAAGGAGTTGCTTTCCTAAGCAGTTTGCCTTCACGAACAGGCTGATGAGATGATGGCACTGTTTTTGGAGTGGTGTTCGTCACCGTGGCTTTACTGGTGGATTTTGGTGATTAGCTCTGTATAGCTGTGGGATAGAAATTTAAAAATAAGTCAGTGAAGAGGCACCTTTGATCAAGGCCACATTAAGCCACAAAGCGACAGGGCTACAGCACAAGTCTCACTGCTTCACGGGACCCGGTGATGTTCTAGACTTCCCTTCAAATTATGGTGCATGCAGTGCTGGGGCAACCCAGATGGGCAGAGTTGAAATAATAATAATAATAATTAATAAAGAAAGAAAGAAAGAAAGAAAGAAAGAAAGAATGCTATTGTTATTATATTACAACATAGGACGAGGTGAGGAAGTTGCTTCCCCTTCTTCACACATACACTGTTTATGTCAACAAAAAAGCTATGAGAGAAAAACACAGTGCAATTGTTTTCCCTTAACAGCCCACTGGCCAGAGACAGGGCTGGTAGGTAATTCAGACCCTTTTAAATAGGCAACCTTCTCACTCTGGCTTTGGTTTAGGACAAAAAACAAGCCACTTTTATGCAGACATGGACGTTGGGATTGGGACCAGGGATGGTGCGTGCACATCCCTGCTTTCTCTTGCGCAAGAGGAGGAACCCATAATACAATTAAAAACAGGAACCATAGGGTTTTTTTTTTTAATTTAAGGAAAGCATGGAAGATGATGTTCTCTAAGATATGTAGTATTCCCCTCTGCATTGTATACTGCTTAGTTTTCTTCCAGTGTATGCATACGTGTGTGCACACCATTTCCAGGTGTTACCTCAGAGTCGCGAGTGAAACAGGGAGCCCACTGCCTGAGGCCCATTATGGCTTTCATCCAGCCTTGCCTCTGAATACTGAGGAGAGTTGTCTTTGCTTTTGTCCCTCAACTGAGATAATGTCTTATTCCTTGGTGCCGCATATGAATGCAGTCACAAATACTGAGTTGTTGTCCCCCCCCCCCCCGGACAACTTTTCTATGAGGGTAGTGATTTGACTCTTGCCCTTTATTTTCCAGACACGCTTCAAACTTCTTGAACTCGCCTTTCCTCCATTGGTGGGTGGCAGTGGCCATTGGTGTACATGGGGAATGGTTCACCTCACATTTTACCCTCACAACTCTGTGAGGTAGATTAGGCTGGGAGATAGGGAACCCTTTCTAGGTCACCCAACGAGCTTCATGGACAAATGGGGGTTAGTCTGGCGTATTAACCACTATATTACACCTAGTCTCTGACATAAGCTGCCCTCAGGTCCTCTCCTTTAATCTGCAGCCCTTCAGAAACTGCAGCTACTCAGGCTTTCCCTGTCAGAAGAAACACACTCCTTTTTCAGACCTGGTCTACTCAGACAGCAGAAAGAGAGGGCAAAACCGTAAGGGGATGCAGCGGCCTGTACCAGTTCAGAGTGCAGGTTGAAAACAGCAACCGCAAACTCCATGCAACTTTAATAATATATATAAAAAAAAAAAACACCCTTGCATATCTAGAGAAAATATTCCTGTGCTGGTTTTCTGTTTGCTGGGTTTTGTTTTTGTTTTTTGTATGCAGGGAAGCATTTATCATTGTAAAACCCCCACCTGCAGTCTGAAGTGGTGTGGTCCATTTTGCAATCTCACAGAATTGGTACCACACGGTTCTGCTCCACGTGTAGCCCTGGCCCTTGTGAGGGGTAGCCAGCTTGCTAGCTAGCTGTATTGGGCCTGGGCAGAATTTCATCCTGTCAGCCAGTTGCCATGGCAGGAGGATAGAAAGCCAGGGGAGGAAATGTTCCAGACACATAGGGATGGCAGCCATTGCATATGCAAATTTGTAACTTTTAAAAATGATTATATTTACATAATTTAATTTAAATGCTGTTTTGAAAGGTACAGAGTTGAATAAATAGAAATTAGTAATTAAGCAATGGCAATATCCTAAACTGTGTTTTGATGTGTGGATATACAATGCCGGGATACGTTACTCATCCCTTTGTATTTTGAGAATTTGTTTTTCTAAGCGCCTTGCTGAGTCACCATGTTCTCAACCGACTGCCACACGTTCTGGAAGTTTCTGTCCAGAAGCCTTGATACAAACTTGATCCATTCAGTTGTAGCATTGCTTCAAAAACAGGGACTAGGCCCTATATTTCCTAAGGGTTTCAGTCCAAGATAGAATTCACATATTTATCTGTGTAAGCTATATCTAAATACCAATGCAATTTGCCTAACCCTGCTTTGAAGTCATTCAAATTGGAACTTTATTAACTACAAACCCTGAAATCTGGGATCCCCTCCAAAATGCTGCCGAAGTTTTGCAGTTCTTTAGCAGGGTTTTGCAGCACAAATCCCAGTTTTTGCAATGCCCTGGACCATGTTGGGTTTTGGGGTAATAGCTATGACCCGCAGTTTAATTACTCAGTTGAGTGGGGGGCACTTCAAAATGCAGGGTTCTCACTGCAAAACTATTGCAAAACTTTGGCACCAGTTTGGAGTAAGTCACACACTCTTGGTTTTTGGAGTCTGTAGAATCAGCCAGCACCTGAGTTCAATCAGCAGTAGATAAATAGGTAGATAGATGCACACATTTCAATCAAAGGTAACTTTTATCCATCTGTAATGACTGCCCATTTCTACGAAGGGAGAAGGTTTTATCAGCTTTACATGAACTCATGTCGGCTTCCCTCTTGGGCAAGGACTTGTCGTCTGCTCCCTCCCACTTAATGCTCTGTAAAGAACTTAGTTTATTTTAAGTGTAATAATAATTACACTGTGGCAAGGAGTATTATTGTACTGAGGACTACTCGTGGGGCTGGTGTATGAATGCTAGTATTTGTATAATTTTAATCTGCAAAGTGTTTTTGGTTTTTTTAAACCTTTTCTACTGTTTCTGAAGAGATAACCATGTCAGTCTGTTAGGAACATTGGAAGCTGCCTTATACTGAGTCAGGCCATCGGTCCATTTAACTCAGTATTGCCTACACGGACTGGCAGCAACCCTCCAGGATTTCATACCAAAGCCTCTCTCTCATCCCTACCTGTTATTTTGAACTGTTTTAAATGTTGTGTTTTAATCGTTATACCCTGCCTTGGGACCTTCAGGTTGAAGGGTGGGTAATAAATTGTAATAATATTAGTACCTGAAAATGCTGGAGATTTGAACCTGACACCTTCTGCATGCAAAGCAGATGTTCTGCTCCTGAGTTATGGCTCTATCTGCTGGTTGCAGCAAGAACAACCAAGTGCCACCTTCAAGTTTAACAAATCAGCACGTTTTTTGCCATAATGAGTGTGTTAGTCTTAGGAAGCCACCTTTTGTTGATTTCACTTTTGTGATGTTTCTCAACAAACCTGTGTGCTGGAACATACCAGTTGCAGCTTCTTGCCATAGAAGAGACAGAACTTTAATCCAGGGTTCTATATCCCAAATCCTATTTCTATGCCCAGATAGTCACAAGTCCTACATTTACCTTCTTTCTTTTCTTTTACCTTCCCAGGTTTTCATTATCCTGTTCCTTTAGTTAGTACAATGGTCTTCAGCTGTTGGGTTGACTGACTGGGTCACAGCCTGAACTAAGGTAGTCCACAATAGCAGCACTGCCACAATACAAAAATACAGTAAACAAATTAAGGAATGGGTTCCCAAATACATGTTTTGGGGATAAAAGTAATTCCTGGGTGAGAAAAGGCTGGAGGCTACACCTGAACAGAAGCTTGCAGACAATAGCAGGGCAGGGAATAATGTTTAAGCGAGTAGGAATATTTAAATGCAGGAGAATTGGTGCCAGAAGTAACTTACTGTCTTTTATTTTTTATTGTTTTCATATAAGCTGCCTTGAGGGACGCGGGTGGCGCTGTGGGTTAAAACCTCAGCGACTAGGACTTGCCAATCGAAAGGTCGGCGGTTCGAATCCCCGCGGTGGGGTGTGCTCCCGTCACTCGGTCCCAGCGCCTGCCAACCTAGCAGTTTGAAAGCACCCTCGGGTGCAAGTAGATAAATAGGGACCGCTTACCAGTGGGAAGGTAAACGGCGTTCCGTGTGCTGCGCTGGCTCGCCAGATGCAGCTTGTCACGCTGGCCACGTGACCCGGAAGTGTCTCCGGACAGCACTGGCTCCCGGCCTATAGAGTGAGATGAGCGCACAACCCTAGAGTCTGTCAAGACTGGCCCGTACGGGCAGGGGTACCTTTACCTTTACCTTTTAAGCTGCCTTGAGAAGCCTTTGCTCTTAAGGCAGCCTAGAAATATTTGATATAAATAAATACTATGAATCTGACAGCATCCTCGGCTTCTTGTTGAGCCCGGCTTTGGCTGGGGAGGGCGGGATATAAATAAAAATTTATTATTTATTATTCTACCTACACAGCAAATAAGCACCCACTCCCTGAGGTAGGCATTGCCATCTCGAGAAGGAAAAGAGTGGACTTTACACCAGCAAATCTTCTCACAAGCAAACGATCAAGAATTAGGTTGTCTTTACATTTTTTTTTAATAAATTAAACTTCTTAAGGAGGTGTTTCCATTTCTTTTCCTTTCTCACTTTACTCCTCTTCCAGTATGAACAGTATCTGGGACCTGACAGTAGTATGAACAATTGCACACCTGCCCATGATCTTAAAGTCCTCCTTTAATTATGCAGCACAGAACCAGCGAATCAATTAATATGGTATCACCCACATATTGCTTAAGTCTACACCCCACTCCCGCACACAGTCTGACATCAGTTAATTTTGTACATGCTACCCCCAAATTAGTTTTGTCAAGGATGGTCGCTAGTGGCATTGCTAAGTAGCACAAGAAGGTTCCAAAAGAATTAGGGAGAAAACAAAATACCTTTTTAAACCCTGTAATGTTAGGCTTCCGTCTGCTTTTATTGCTGCTGGAAGCTACACTGTTTTGACCCCATAAGCATATAGTGCCTAAAAGGCCTACTGTGCATTGCATTAGGGACCACACTACTTTAACTGCAATGGCCAGAGATCGACAAAAGGTTCATAAATATTGTTACAAAAGTTGGGCACCATCCCTACTGTCTGCCAAGCAGTAGCAAGGTTCCAGGGGCTCATCCAGGGACTCAGCTATACAGCTGCAAATAAAATGTTTTAAGTGCAATATTCAATGTGACACTAGATGGTGAGGCTTATGGAAAATTCAATGTATTTTTTTTTAAAAAAAAAGCTTTTAGAAAAGCATTTTCAGAACGGTTTTTATATTTGTGTATATTTCACCCAGGATTTGTGCTCCCTTGGAGAACTGAAGACACAGTGGATTTAAGAAATCTGATTTATTCAATCTGCATGGAGGGAGTCCAGATCAAACAGCATGGTCATCTCAAGCAGGGCTGGTTTCCCACAGCTGTACAGCACTGAAGTCAAAAGGCATTTCTCCTAGCCAGCCTTCAGCCAGCTTTCCCAAGATGGAGGGAGGAGCAAAATGGTACCGGAAACTTACACACTCGTGCGTTTGCTCTAAGCAATGATTTGACTTAGTGTGACAAGTGAGCCATTTTATTTTATTGACTTTTTAAAAAACTAACTGTAAGCTGCCTTCAGGATCTTTGTGTTAAAAAGGTGCCATCTACCCATAGCTGTCAACCTTCCCTGTTTTTGCGGGAAATTCCCTTATTTCAGCGCTGTTTCCCACTGCTATCCCGGATTGTTAGATATCCCGTAGACTGTCTCCGGGACAGGTGAGGCTGCTGATCCCTTATTTTCAAATCTGAAAGTTGACAGCTATGCATCTATCTATCTATCTATCTATCTATCTATCTATCTATCTATCATCTATCTAATGAATGTTGCTTAGTCCTGCTAAATATTGCAAAAAACCCCAAACAAACCAGCTGCCCCTACCACTCCCAACTTGCCCTAACTATTCCATACCTCTTTTCTCTGGTCTTCCCTTAACCCACTCTCACCTCTATCCAAAACTCCGCTGCCAATATCACCCCCCCTGTCATTCAGATCATTTTAATGTGTAGTTTGAATTGTAGTTTATGCATGTAGCAGGGAAGGCTTTAAGAATGGCTTGTAGCTGATGTTCTCTGGAGCTACAGAGATGAATTTGCCTCAGATGACTAAAACATATTTTATTTTATTTTTGTCAGTTTTCCACAGAGGAGCATTTTGTAAAGGAATAAAGCTTCTCCACACACCTCTCCCTAATATATATCAAAATCTGGCCTGGGCTGCTCCCTGACGGAACTGTATGCTCGATTTTAAATTAAAAATGAAATGTCAGCATTTTTAATGCAGTCTTAATGGACAAACACTCTTCCAGCACATTAGGGGGGAAATACGTTTGGAAAATATTGATGGAGTAGGATTTTGCTTTGAAATATATATATATGGAGGGATTTTGTCAAAATGTTTATATTAGACCCTGTGGCAAGTTGCCATGCAACTCCGTTGCTCAGCTTATTTAAAGATGCAACTATTGGTTTATTATTATAACAAATATCATATATTACAGCCATTGCTTTTTTCTGGAGGTACGCAGGGGTACGCATACCAGCAAACATTTTGTGAATCTTTGTACTTTTGTCCATTTACTGTATTTATTTTTCCCAGTTTGAACTATAAAATGGTGATTTTCTTGAGTCAAAATGAGAGTACTCCTAAACATTTTTAAAGAAAAAAAGCACTAATTACAGCATTGTCACCAGTGCTGTGACTTTTCAGCCAGGGGTCAGCAAACTATTTCAGCAGGAGGCCGGTCCACTGTCCCTCAGACCTTGTGGGGGGCTGGACTATATTTTGAAAAAGAAAGGAAAAAAGAACAAATTCGTATGCCCCACAAATACCCCAGAGATGCATTTTAAATAAAAGGACACATTCTATTCATGTAAAAACACCAGGCACGCCCCACAAATAACCCAGAGATGCATTTTGAATACACATTCTAATCATGTAAAAACACACTTATTCCCAGACCGTCTGCAGGCCAGATCCGCCCCTGGGCCTTCGTTTTCCTATCCATGCTTTTAGCAACCAGGGCCTTCCTGTGCAAGGATGCTCAACTTGTAGTCCAGTTATCATTTGCTGAGTGAGGAGGGGAGGGTAAGGTTGGCAGATGAAAAAGTGATGGGGTGGCCTTGCTTGCAATACTTCTAAGAACAAGACCCTTTGCTCTGTGCTGGCTAAATGTTATCATTCCCTTAAAACCACCCTTCTGTATAACATTTCTTCTTTCAAGATAGTGTTTCCATGTGTTCTGAATTTCTGGCTGCTGCAAGTTTGTCAGATCTTTAATATATATATATATATATATGCAGGCCTTTACAAAATGCTCCTCTGTGGAAAACCTGCATTCCTGTACCCGTGAAAATCTACGAAAGCATATATATATATATATATATATATATATATATATATGCCTGATATGAGTGAAACTAGAGCCAAGATAATACCCACCCCCACTTTCTCCCTCCCAAGTATATGGGCATGTGCAGGTAGTTATAGAAAACTATAGGTGGTGATGACAGCTTGACTAGGAGTGCAAAATGTACAATAAAGCAATCACTTCTAAAAAATTTCATCAGGGGACCTTTAATATTTCCTGAAGTGCCAGCATCTGGAAATGGGGGGGGGGGAGAGAGAGAGAAATAATAAGAAGGTGGTTTCGTAATTTAGGTTCTGCAACAGTAAAACTGAGTGCAGCTAAACTGCATGCGTAGGGATTTGCAATATTCCGATCAATGACTAATTAACAGTCGGCCGATGTTCTGAAGCTAGAAAACAGATATCTGTTTCATTCTCCATAATATATTTTGCTTATTTTGTTTTATTGATTTTATTCTTTTTAAAAAAATAAAAATAGAAGTGTTTGAAAAGTATAGAACTGTTTTCAAAAAAAAAATTATAGACAGTTGTGGGCCAGGCTAGACGAGGAGGAGATTTGTGATTGGATCACCTGACAATTATTTTTAAAAAGCAGCTGGGGGCAGATAGGATTGGACTGAGGCCTAAATGGTGGGTGGGGCAGGGGGATTTACCCTTCCCACTAGGCCTTTTTTTTGCAGTCTTAATCTGTGCATTGTACACATAGAAACACAGCTGCCATTTGTCCTGCTTGGGGGAAAAATGAATGGATGGGGAGAGATATATTTCTGCTATAAATAAAAATTAAAAAGAGTTATCTGTGCTATAGTTCTGCTCTAAATCTCTCAGCACAGATAAATGTTTTTTTTTTTACCATTTGTATTACTTACTTACTTACTTACTTACTTACTTTCCAATAGGAAATAATTTCCTAATTGCATTAACAGGAGCTTCCCTCTCACTGCCAATAGCAGGTGGGGGTGATATGGTAGAGCAAAGGATTATGGGTGAAACCCCAACCACAGCAAATTCTTTCCAGGAGTATAAATGTTAAAATGAATGGGCAAAATGTGAGAATGCAGCACCAAAAATAAGTGCGCCTTTTGGTCTTGCGCGATGGCGAGCCCAGCACACAGGACCGAAATGGAACATCCAGGATGGAATCAGAATCCAGAAGGGCTTCTGCCATTCTGGGATGTCCTGCTTAAGATGGGACAGTCGCAAGTGTGTGATATACCTAACTCTGGTTTTTTAATGGTATATCTGTGCACATTCTGTATAGTATTATAGGATGCGTATTTCTTTCTGGTGGTGGCTGAAATGTCCATGATGGTCGACAAGACTTTTGTTAGCCCAAAGATGGAAACAACAGGAGTTACCAACAAAAGAAGAGTAGCAGATGAAGGTGATGGACTTTGCAGAACTGACAAAACTGACGGGAAGAATACGGAACCAGCGAGACCAAGCATTCCAAAAGGGCTGGAACAAATTTGTATTATATTTGAAAGACAACTGTAACCAATTAACATCATTAGCAGGGTTATCTGAAGATCTGTAAGATGAAATTGCTACCTATTCAGGTTGAGTAATATAATATTTCAGGTAACGCTACAACAAGGATAGGAAACCAAGCGAAATGTAAAGATGTAAAGTTTAATTTTGTAAACCATCAGACGGGAGGGAGGGAAGTCGGCTCAGTTGAGCCAAAGAGATAAAATAAGAGGGTACGTTGTTACGTAATATGATTACATGTAAAATGAATAAAAATCATTTATAAAAAAGAAAAGGAAAGACCATGATGGTCATAGCAACAAATAAAACTGAATCGATATAACACCTGTTATAAAATGGCTGCACTGCTTGCCAGATCGTTTCCAGGTTCTAAATGACTCAGGCCCCACATGCCTGAAAGACAGACTCCTTCCAGACAGACCCTTCCTCTTGATAATTCATTATCATTATGGTGAGGGTGGCCCAGGAGACGGCATTCTCTGTGGTAACCCCTAAACTGTGGAACTTTGTCCCAACAGAGGTGTTTCCGGTACCTTCATTATGCAGCTTCTTTTAAAAAAATGTTTTTTTAAAAAAATTCAGAATTATAACAAGACATATTATCCAAAAACATATCATCCTTGTTCCCCCCCCCACATTTTTCCTCCCTCCCCCCTCCCACACAAAACCCACCCACCCCCCGACTTCCCTCAGTTCCAGTCTTCGGTTTCTCCAAGAATGCTGTTTTCTGCATGTTACAAAGTTGTATAGATCCTCAAACTATTTAGCTGATTATTATCAATAAAAAGTTTGTGAATGTTTATTCAAAACCTGCCAAGGAGTCCAGTTCGCTTTGTTGCGTCTTCAGATACTTTGTAAAGGGTTCCCATTCATCCTTAAAGTCACAGTTATCCTTGTCCCATAGCTTATATGTCAGTTTTGCCAGTTCTGCATAGTCCATCAATTTTTCTTGCCATGATTAGTTGGGGTTTCTTCAGTCTTCCATCCTTGTGCTACCAGAACTCACACGGCCGTTGTCGCATACATGAAGATGTTTTTCAACTTTTTTGGCAGGTCATTATGCCATTATGCAGCTTCATTATGCTGGAAATACACTTCGTCACCTTTGGTTTTGACATTTGATAAGTGCATTTTTAGGACCTTATTTATGTAATTTTAATCTGCTTTAATATAGTTTTAATGTTGTAACCCACACTTAGGGTGACTTTAAGATGAAAAGCAGGTTAATAATAATAATGGCACCAAATGGCTAGCTCAGCCTTGAATCGTGACTAAATTACATTTCATTTTTTTAAAATACAAAAGCATGCTAAACTTGGCCCCTGTTACTAATCCATGCTACACTTGTGAGTTATGCTACAAAAATGAGGTACCGTATTTTTCGCCCTATAAGACGCACCAGACCATAAGACGCACCTAGTTTTTGGAGAAGGAAAACAAGAAAAAAAATATTCTGAATCCCAGAAGCCAGAACAGCAAGAGGGATCGCTGCGCAGTGAAAGCAGTGATCCCTCTTGCTGTTCTGGCTTCTGGGATAGCTGCGCAGCCTGCATTTGCTCCATAAGATGCACACACATTACTTTTTAGGAGGGAAAAAGTGAGTCTTATAGAGCAAAAAATACGGTAACTATTCATACACATCACTGTTTCTAACTAGGGAAAAATCAGACAGCTGCTGTATGACTGAATGATTTAAAAACAACACATATGCCAAGTGAAAGCCAATGATACAGTTGCAACTCGGGGCCAGTAACATATATATATATATATATATATATATATATATATATATATATATAGTTAGCTTCTACTTGCAACTGTGTGGGACAGGCCACCTTCAAGGCTCACCCAAGAACCTTCTATCTTCCTCTGCCCAGCCGAAATAAACACAGACTGTATAAAAGAGAAATATGAGACAGTAGTCACTATTCTAATAGTCATAATGGCTAGCCTGACAGATTTTGTAAGACAAATGGTTTCAAAGTTTCTAAGGCCAAGCAAAAAGATTGCGGAAAGCTGGCTTAGAAAGTGCCAAAATAGATGGTGGGTTTCTTGGCCCGTGAATTTCAGTGGTGCCCTGGGTGAGGCCAAAATTTTGCACCCACCCACCTACCTGAATATCACATTCTGTTCTGCTCAATTCACTGTGTTATAGTTGTTGTGCTGCCCTAAAGCCGCCTCTGGTTACATTGGATCCAACTGAGCTAAACCTGCCTAATCCTGGCAGAGAAAAAACAAGGGTTTAAAACAGAGTTCTATGCCAGGTTGCCAAGCAGAATGCGAATTCTACCTTTCTACAGTAGACTAGTTTCTACAAACGCGATCACACACCCCTTTGCAAGATTTCTTAATTGACTTGAAGGATGCACATTCCAGCTGAGCGGAAACGCTTGAGAAAGCAGGGGTGTGGAGAGTCCTCAGAGCCAAACAGACAGGCTTGGCATTTCCCCATCCTTGATATAATTTGACTTCCTCTCCTGCGTCCAACCAGATGCCTCCTGGAAGACTTTAAGCAGGACATGAGAGCATCCGTCTTCTCCAATGGTTGTTCTTCCCGGCAACTCTTGGTACATGTTCTCTGATAGGAAGAACATGGAAGGAACGTTCTGTATCCCCGACCCCAGTGAGGTTAATCCAAGGCATGATTTTTGCTAACCATTAACACATAGTTGTGGTGAATCCCCGGAATCTCCAGAGATTATATGAGAAGACTTCATTTTATGTGTGTCCCATTTATGATCAAGATTGCACCCTCTGAACAGTGTCAGAAAAAGACCTCTGGGCCACATTATGCTCACAGTGACTCTGACTGTGGACATTGGGTAATAATAGAGAAGAGTCCTCAGGGGACTTGGATGAAGTACTTAATATAAATGTTCTGGGGAAGGATATTTCACAGTTCCATGCCCATTATGTCAATGTGGTGATCACACAGGGTCCCCGGACGTTTAATGGTCTATTGATCCCTGTGCCACCACTGTGCTCACTTCCCTGCTGCCACCAACCAGTTACTCTCTTGTAAAACACTGAGTCCAGTCAGTTGTTAAAAGTGAACAAAAAACCCCAAGTTTATTTTACAAACATTAACAAGTTTATGGTTTCTCAGATAATATTCCTGTCAGTATCTTAACTTTAGCTTCTTTACTGGCCTATACCTTCCTATCACAGCGGTACCTCGGGTTAAGTACTTAATTCGTTCCAGAGGTCTGTTCTTAACCTGAAACTGTTCTTAACCTGAAGCACCACTTTAGCTAATGGGGCTTCCAGCTGCCGCCGCGCCACCAAAGCACAAATTCTGTTCTCATCCTGAAGCAAAGTTCTTAACCCGAGGTAATATTTCTGGGTTAGCTGAGTCTGTAACCTGAAGCGTATGTAACCTGAAGCATATGTAATCCGAGGTACCACTGTACCTTCTGACTGATTATCTCAACTGTTTGACTGACCCCTCTTAACAAATTCTCTCACTCTCTCACACCAGACTAGCCCAACCCACAGACTTCTCTGCATCTTCTAACTCCAGACTGTCCCCTCAACAACTCCCTCAAAAAAACTTTGTGCTTAAACCTTATACAGTGCTACCTCGGGTTACATACGCTTCAGTTTACAGACTCCGCTAACCCAGAAATAGTACCTTGGGTTAAGAACTTTGCTTCAGGATGAGAACAGAAATCGTGCAACGGTGGCACAGCGGCAGCAGGAGGCCCGATTAGCTAAAGTGGTGCTTCAGGTTAAGAACAGTTTCAGGTTAAGAACGGATCTCCGGAACAAATTAAGTACTTAACCTGAGGTACCACTGTACACAGTTAACTCTGCCCCTGGGTTCCCATTGGTTAGTCATTTTACAATTAGTTAACCCTTCCCCTATGAACCGAGTATGATGTCACACACATAGGAGGGGAAATGCCACAGTCAATGACGTATTGATTTAAAATCTGCAGGCCACTAAAGATCTAATTCTGTCTCTGTTCGCTGTTACTCTCACACACAGCCCTACCACACAAGGGTACAGGCAGATACAATGCTTCCTCGCAGCTTTGCTTACTCACTCATATACCCTGCCAATGGTAGCAGCTGTCCAATGAGTCATGGTGAAACTACTCATAAGGCTCAGCCCCGGGACCTATTTTCAATGGTAGAGGTTGTTTCTGGAGCATGCCCCTTCTCAAAAGAATGTAAGAGCAGCCCTGCGGGACTGGTCCAGAAAGTGTCCATCAAGTCTTTCATTTTGTTTGCAACACTGGCCCACCAGATGTTCCTAGAAAGTGTCCAAACACATCAAGAAAATTAGTCCTTCTCTGTTTCTTTCCAATATTTGATATTCACTGGCACAGTGAGTTTCCATTTAGTTGCCATGGCTGATGGTAGTAGCTGACTAGCCCATTCTCCATAAACTTACCTTATTTTCCCTAGTTTATTTGTAATTATGATGCAAGTTATGATCATAAACTATTTTGGAAGTGGCCTAAGCCTGTGGCCATCACTGCTTTTACTGCCAGTGAGTTCACACACCGCCCCCATTTTCTACATATGCAAGAATATAAAGGTAAAGGTAAAGGTACCCCTACCCATACGGGCCAGTCTTGACAGACTCTAGGGTTGTGCGCTCATCTCACTCTAGAGGCCGGGAGCCAGCGCTGTCCGCAGACACTTCCGGGTCACGTGGCCAGCGTGACGAAGCTGCTCTGGCGAGCCAGCACCAGCGCAGCACACGGAAATGCCGTTTACCTTCCCGCTATTAAGCGGTCCCTATTTATCTACTTGCACCCGGGGGTGCTTTCGAACTGCTAGGTTGGCAGGCGCTGGGACCGAGCAACGGGAGCGCACCCCGCCGCGGGGATTCGAACCACCGACCATGCGATCGGCAAGTCCTAGGCGCTGAGGTTTTACCCACAGGGCCACCCGCGTCCCTGCAAGAATATAGTGCAAGAATATAGTGTCCTGCAAATTGGTCTCCAAATTTCCTTGAGCTTGGATTATATATCTAGGGCACTTTTAGTAGCTAGTAAAATAAGAAAGCCACTTTATATTCAGATAACAAATGTCCAGCCTCAGGTCTATTTCAGAAGACAGCTTTCAGGACCAATTTGTATGCCTTTTTTTAGAAGTGCTGTATGTAAGATAAAAAATGGTTTTGACCATTTATTTATAGAAAATAAGTTGTATCCTAAAGGAGGATAAAGGGGGTTGGACTAGATAACCCCTTGGGTCCCTTCCAACTCCACAATTCTTTGAAAGTTGAAAAATGCAATTTCCACCTGTATTTTGTTTCTCTCTCTTTACATTAAGCTATAGTATAAATGCTAATTCATTCTAGAAAACATCATTGGTGGGGAGAGAATCTAGAAATGTGTTTAGTTTAATTCTCATCCCCACCTCACTTGTCTTTGCACCGTTCACATCCCAAGGCCTAAAAATCTGGTATTCATCTGCAGGAAATTCAGAATACAAGACAAAGCAGAGTCTTGGCCCCTTCCATTCAGTGACCTGACCCACTAATCACATGAAAGTAGTTAAACTTATAGTTTATCTCGTCTGTTATCATGAATGCAAAATCATCCCTAAAATTGAGTACACTCTGTCCTAAACTATTTTTTTATTACATTTGAAAATGTAGTA